GTATCCTGGGGAGCCCACCCCGGTACACGGCTTACAGACTCAGCCAACAATCAGCTCCAGGAATATCAAAGAAGGTCTAAAGTTACCTGTGAGTACTGTTACAATTAGAAGACACCTATGTGAAGCCAAGCTATCTGCAAGAAGCCCCCGCAAAGTCCCCACTGTTGAAAAAAAGACATGTGCTGAAGAGGTTACAATTTGCCAAAGAGCACATTGACTGGCCTAAAGAGAAATGGCACAACATTTTGTTGACTGATGGAAGTAAGATTGTTCTTTTTGGGTCTAGTGGCCAGAGACAGTTTGTTAGACGACCCCCAAATACTGAATTCAAGCCACAGTACATTGTGAAGACAGTGAAGCATGGTTGCGCAAGCATCATGTTATGGGGATGTTTCTCATACTACGGTGTTGGGCCTATTTATCGCATACCAGGGATCATGGATCAGTTTGAATACATCTGAATACTTGAAGAGGTCATGCTGCCTTATGCTGAAGAGGAAATGCCCTTGAAATGGGTGTTCCAACAAGACAACGACCCCAAAAACACACCAGTAAACGTGCAACATCTTGGTTCCAGACCAACAAGATTGACGTTATGGAGTGGCCAGCCCAATCCCCAGATCTTAATCAATAGAAAACTTGTGGGGTGACATCAAAAATGCAGTTTCTGAGGCAAAATCAAGAAATAGAGAAGAATGTGGAATGTAGTCCAATCATCCTGGGCTGGAATACCTGATCACAAGGGCCAGAAGTTGGGTGACTCCATGCAACACAGATGTACAGCAGTTCTCAGAAACAGTGCGACTACAACCAAATATTCATTAAGTGATTCAAAGGAAAGCAACATCTTCAAACATTTTTCAGTTTATATAGTGAATGCTTGAATTTGTAAAGAAGAATACAAACACTGCTATTTTTTTGAACCGTCTAATATTCACTTTTCTGCGATTTTTTTTTTTAGAGGAACAACACAAATTTGATATATTTTTCTTCATGTTTTGATTTGGAGTAGAAGGTGTAGTGTTCCCATTGCATTTGTGTGGATGGAAATAAAAGCTTTATTTACTTTTTTTCAACACACTGCTATTATTTTGAACACAACTGTGTGTGTGTGTATATATATATTTTTGATGATTTTCTGAAGATCTTTTGTAATAAACATTTGTTTTTAAACTATATTCAGTTTGGTGTATATACAGTACTTTGTGGTCAACCTTGAACTCCCTTGATGTTCTCTTATTGGATGTGGTTTTTTGGTAATTTTAGGGATGATGACCGCTTGGTAATTATTAATATATACATCCCTCACACAAGTTTGTGAAAATTGGATTCCCATAACAGCTTCAATGCAAGATTAGAATTTACACTAGTGAAGGCCGTATAGCTCAATTTGAATACAGTGGTGTGAGATATTAGTTACAAGGACCCATCATGAAGGGACCCATCATGAAGGAAGGCTTGATATGTATTGGAATATTTTTAAAGTATATATGTTGATTTTATGTGATACAAGGGAAAAAAAAGTTTTTTTAAAAAAAATTAGATATCTAGATGTAATCCTTTGTGTACCTTTAACGATTGAGTCCATTGACTCATACTTGCTATTCTTTCTGATGTATTTTGTCAGCAAAACTACATTAGTTGAGAAAAATCAATAACCTATGTTTGCTTATCTGTATTATCTGCTATCTATGTTTTATCTATCCTATGTATTATATCTTTTCTTATTCTTTGTGTTATCTATTATTATCCAGCTTATGATTTTTACAAACCTCATTGGTCCAGCTCATTATACACCTTTGTGTATCTTCTTCTTGTATAAATGTAACCAAGCTTAAAGTGGTTATAAACCCTTCCATATACCCAGTGAAGTGACTGGGCTCAGGTGATACTCAGAGATAATACAAATCCTCCTACATAAGTTGTACCTGTATCTGCAGTTTTCTCTTCTCTACATCTGTTCAAAGTCCAGAATTTATAAAGCTTGTCTGAGCTTCCAGAAAGTGTGTGTGTGCGTTTGTGTTGGGCTCAGTGAGGAGATCTCTGAGAGCTGATTGGTGGGAAAAGACACACTTCCTCCACACAGCTCACAAGACCAGAGCTGAAACTGTCAAACTGCTGGAGGTCCCTACCCCGTCACCATTTTTCTCTTGGTGTCAGGAAAACTTGTCAGAAGTGACTCATGCTGATCAGGAACAAAGCAGCAAACGGAAATGACAGAAATGTTCTTAACTGAAACAAGTACACACTACAGAGGGATGTGCCATTTCTGAGGTTTGCAACCACTTTAACCCATTAAACTACTGTATAAGTAAAAGCAAGCTTTTTTTTTTTCTTTTTTAATTTGGATACAGTGAAGAGGGACTAGAACATCTGAAAGTGTTTATTGTGGTCTGTGCCCCTGTTAAAGAGATTAACCCTCTTTATTTGTCCTGTTTACCATTATCACTGAGAGTGAAAGTTTAAAAAACAATCCCAATTTTTGGGTTGACAGTAGAACAATAATAGAGGTGAAATCATCTGATGACAACCAGGGATTCCCTTCATTTTAGTTGATCTATGGGACAAGAAGTGAAGGGAAACCTCCCCAATGGAACACAGATGGCAACAAAAAAAAAACCCGAAAATAGAAAGGTTTTGTTTTAGTTCTACTTTAAAGAAGAACTCCGGGATAGGCATAAAAAAATCACCCGTTAGTACACCCCTTACACAGAACACTAAGCAGTTAATACAATTTTGAAAATTCTTACCAATTATGAGGAAACTCTCCTTGAATTTTCATGACCTCACCTCTGCAATTCAAAAGATAAGAGCATCTGCTCTGCCAAGCAGGAGGTAGAACAGCAGGGATTACATCATGTCCTGTCCTCTGTCTCTGCAGTAAGTGGAAACTACAGTTCCCATCAACAACAGGGAATTGTAGTGAATATGGGCAGGTGCACTAGGCCTGTAAATGTTGAATGTGTCTGAGATTTTCGGTCTGCCCACCACTGCAAGTGTGGCTAAATGACATCATTGCTTCTTCTTTGAGAAAGAACTACAGAAGGGACATGCCAAGACCAGTGGCTGGGGGAATAGGAGGCATAGCAGTCACCCATCTTACAAACAGGAAATCAAAGAGACTTAACAGTTTGATTTGAAAATGAATAGGCTATTTCAGAACAACTACTGTGTAAACCAGACGATGGATGACATAAAGTGAAGGTAGAAAATCAGGACATGTAAAGACGTTTTTGCCTGGAGTTCTGCTTTAAGTGAAGTAGTGCAGCATTCAATTCCTAGTCTGTGATATCACATTTACTACATCACCAGACAATTTTCATGACAACACGACAATTTATATGCCAATTATTTTTTAGTCATAACATTGAAGTGACATAAACAATAATGACAAAAAGAAAATCAGGCAGTGAAAATTGTAATGGTCCCTGGCATTGGTTAACAATAATGTTTCCCCTTACACAGTTGGTCAGGGAACCCCTGGTAAAACCTGCTCTATCAAATATTTAGGATTCAATACAAATATGCATTGCTAACCATTTAGGCACTGTGCTGTCCATATGCATATATACACTGTCAAGCCTGCAATTTTTTTTTTTTGTTTGTATACCGAAACTTTTTCAATAAAACATGAGGCTGAAAGAAAAAATCTTTTGATGCAACATACCCAAAAATAAATATGTAAAAAACCCTAAAAATTCATACCATAACAATAATCTACTGTATATGCATAAAGGGCATTAAATCAATAGATCTCTAGATATATAAAACTAAAGTAATTTGTGAAAAAAATGCTGTGAAAAACAACAATGGGTTATCAAATCAACACATCAATAGTCCATCTAGAGGCAGACAACTACGTTGGGTAATGCTTGACCATGTTCTGTCTGTAGCACCCTCTGGTGTACATAGTTGTTGAGAATAGTGAGAGGCTTGCCAGAAGTCTGGGTTTAGTTAGAGGATTTACTTCAGGTCAAGGCTGGAGGGCTCTTCTGGTCAGTCCTCTGGTACCTCTCCTTACTCTAGAAACTTGGAGAAGCTTCGAGAAGTCAGTAAGCAGAGGTGAGGAGGGGCTGATCTGCATACTTATGGGAGTTTGGCCAATCCCAGCCAGGAGGCTTGGCAGTGTGGGAGATCAGCCCATAAATATGGCAGAACCTGGCCAGCAGGGGGACGGGTGGAAGATGAAGTGCTGAAAGGTGCTGTTGTGTAGCCTGGGACGGGGCCCCGAAGAAGGGGTCATGCTTCCAGGCTGGGCTGGAAGCTGAAAGAGGGAGCTCCATTGCCCTGTAGTCCACCTGGGAAAACCAGCCTGCCAAGCTTGGAGAGGAACCAGCCCAACTACAGAGACCCACCCCCATGGCCTAGAAGGAAGAAGTCTGCTGGATGCAAGTTCTGACAAGACATTAGGGGACAGTTCATAGCTTACCAATCTCCTGTCCTGGGATCAGCTACAGTAGATGGGTGGGTTGGTATTTTAAACTCTTAGGGGACTTAGAGCTCCTATAACATGATACTTTGCTAAAATGAAATATATAAAACAGAGTTGTTTTACCTGCCAAATTATATTTCTTGTCCATCTAGTGCTAAGATATACAGTACATAAATCTGCTACACAACACAGCCTTGTCCGGCAGGGCAGTAGAACTTGTTTTTTTCTCCAGCAGTTAGGTAACATTTATAGGTCTTGTCTCACCCCAGCCTGTGACTGGACTGTGAAAGAAGAAGGCTGGCGACTGCAAAATTGTTAGACACAGATAAAGTGAGATAAATAAATAAAAAAAAAAGTGAGATAAATAAATAAATACTAAAACCATTTCATTGAAAAAAAAATTTATTTGATGCAAACATTTTTAAAGCAAGATACAGATGTGTTATGGGCTGGACGTCCAAGCTAGCATTAGATGCTTTTAGTAGTAGCAGAAATCATTGCAAAAATTCAAGAATACTCCAATGCCAATTTACAGAGATGCGTATACTTGGTCTTGTTTAAGGCAAAATCAATGGTCTGTTTCTGCACATTGATAGATGTCACCAGTTGGGCTGAGAAGCCACAGAGAGCCATTGTCATAAGTGACGTGTTTGAAAGTGGCACAGAAGTCTAGCTGGGTCCAGACTCTTCCAGTTGGGGTTTCAGAACTGATCCCATCCCTAAAACAAATGCAAATGCACATTTTTTATGGTATTCAAGACAAAATAGCAAATAAAAAAACAATTACTAGGATAAGCTTTTCAGACTGACCAAATAGTCAATGTTGTAAATCTATAGTCACTGGAGATATAATTTAATGCCCATGTTGAGGGTTCGGAAAAAGTACAATATCAACTGAATAAAGAGAGAAAAAAGTCAAGGATGTTCTAACACAGGCTTGTCCAACCCATGACCCATGGGCCCAGGACAACCATGAATACGGCCCCACATAAAATCATAAAGTTACTTAAAAATGTTGATTTTTTTGGAGTTTTTGGTAAAAATGCATTTACACTTGTGTAGCACCCTCTAGTGTGCTACTAGAATAGTGTAGTGTATTGGTAGTGTATTGTAGGTAAAATCATTGTGTATGACTCATGGTAGTTTTTTGAGTCTGTGATTGAGGTCGGGTTATTGCAGGTCAGCTGGATCACTCAACAGGTTGTGACTCTATCACCTCCTGCTGACTCTGGAGAACCATAGAACCTTCCAGAAGTCGGTAAGCAGGAAAGGGTGTAGACCTGATCTGCAGGTTTATGGGAGTCTGGACAATCCCAAGTTTGGAGGCCCTGGTAGTATGGTGAACTGGCCCATAAACGTGGAAGAGTCAGGCTGACAGAGGAGTTGGGTGGAAGATGGTGTTAGGGATCCGGGTATGACCAGAAATGTGTGGACTGACACAGGGAAGTAGCAGGCTTCAAGAACACAGGCGTAGTCAGGGTGGAGAGGTGGAATGGTCAGGCAGGTCATAAGGTACTGTCAGGTGCCCCCTGGCAGTGTCTCTAGCAGCCCACAGCACGGATTTCCATAGGGCACGGGGTCTAAGTACCAGCCTGCTATTCACCAGGGACCCTGATGGTGGGGATGGACTTGGTGCAGACTGGAACCAGGTCGCGTGAGTGCGTCCGGCTGTGGTAGAGAGTACTGGCAGGGGAGTGCAGGAACGGAATCTGATGGGAAGAGGCAGGCAGACTTACCAAAGGTGATCCGTGCGGGATGGATGGATCGTCGGGTGAAGTAAGCGTAGTCAGACAGGCCGGGTCGGTATCATGCGGGCAGCGTGGTACAGGAGGAGCAAGCAGAGAATGGTCGGGATCACAAGCCAGGTTCAGCAGGTAGCGCGATAACGAGGATCAGGCAGAAGGATGGTCAGGCAAGCCAGGGGTTCAACAGGAGATGGTCAGAAGAGGTCAGGATCAAAGCAGGGTCAGCAACAAGGCAGGAACACAGGATACCAGGTACAGGGGCTCATGGGAAACATACACCAAGGCCCAGATCACAGGCCTGGTCATTCCTTATATGCACCTCCTGCAATCAGCCTCAGGTGTTTTGGCTGATTGCAGCAATGAGCCTCTGGTTGCTGAGAGCACCCGCTGGCCAGCCCTGGTACTGCAACCCACAAGGCAGGTGAGTCCCACCACTATTGGCGAGTCCATTCCTGACAGATGGAGTGCTGAGGAGACTGTCGGTGCCTGGGAGGGGTTCCCCTAGGCCTAAGGGGGGGTCTCGGGCTGGCTCAGAAGGATACATTCAGCGGTTAGGCGTGAATGTGATCGAGACCTGGAGCAGCAGGGAAGTGAAGACAACAGTGTGAGTACAGCAGCACTCCCTGGGATCCACAAAGGGAAAGACTGCCACACGTACCAAGCTTTCCAAGGATAGCGCTGGGTTCAGTCCTTTATTCTTGTCCTAGGAAATCTTCCGAGAAGCCAGTAGGGCTGGTACTGTTTGCAGGTTATGGAGCTGGGAGCAGCTCTACAGGGGGAGAGAAGACATCTCTGCATGTAGCTACGAGAAGAGAAGTAAAGCTGATTTTTGAGGGACTAAGTTACTGATCACTGATCAGCAATAACTGATGGACTTCAGGAAAAGAACAGTCCAGGATCTGCCTTTGCGCATAGGAAAGAAGTGTCCATCTTCCATTGATTCAACCCAAACTGGGCATCCTATAATCCCTATTTCCCTATCCAAGTTGATTTCCCCTGTTTTAAAACAACAAAAACAAGCCCATGAACTGGTCTTTGTCTTTGGATGCAAGTTTCTGTGAGAAATACCTGTTGCCTGGCTTAGGGATACCCACTACACAGCGGCCCTCATGAGGGTATCACTACACTTAGTGAACACAAGGTGGCTGAAGAAAAATTTGACAGTGTCTCTTTACTGGACTATTACAAGTCTTATCTCCTCAAAGTAAAATATCCCACTCTTCACAATCACGTCTTTTTCACATCATCAGTTTTCGAAAGCACCATTATTTGTGAGCAACTATTTTCAAGGATGAAACATACGAAGGGCAAAATTAGAACCAAAATATCCAATGAGCACCTTGAGGATTCAATGAGAATTGCTGCTACATTCATCGAAATCAGTTATTGCTGTATTCGTTTTTTCAAAAACAGTGTCAAATACCGCACTAATTTTATGTTACTCTCTTTTACATTTTATTAAGAAAAAATGTTACAAAAAAGTTTTATTACTCAGATAGGTACATTATCTATATCAGTAATCAATAACTTCTGCCCAACGTTTTCTGCTCATCAGCGATTTAATATTTGTGTATTTTATGTGTGGTACAAGACAATACTTCTTAAAATGTGGCCCAAGAAAGTCAAAAGTTTGGACACCCCTGCTCTAACACTAATGTGAGCATGTACAGTGGTTGCTGAATTATACCTAGTAGATTCTTCTAAGTGGCTTATCGCAGTATTTACCATTAAAACTTATTTACAAAAGTAACATTTATATACACATTGCCTTAAGACCCATTTCATACGGGAGTTCTGAGTGGGTTTGCTGTCAGTTTTTCAGGCAGACATGATCGTATGGTCTATGATTCCCTATGGACAGGCGGGTGTAAACAGACTTTTGTCCATTTACACCCACCTACCTCCTGGCCTGATCCAGTCTGCTCAAAAAAAAACTGAAGGGGATCCCTCCTCTTCTGTTTAGATGGTAGTTGGGTGTAAACAGACACGAGGAGTCCGTTTACTCCCTGACACCCATTAAGCAGAGTGGGCTCTGTCCTTGTGTACTCTGCACAAACTGAACAGACACGTGTCATTTGCCCACTCTGCACTCATCACCAGGGAATCTATGAGCTGATTCTCTGCTGATCAGAATGGATTCCACATGGAATCCACCCCATGTGAAAGAGGCTTTATGCTATTGCATACATAGTTAAAAAATTACCTTTTGTACACGTTGCCTGCTGAATTGACGCCATACACAGAGCCATCTGTGCCAACCTCTATCATCACCAGACTGCCATCAGTCTGCTCCCAGTGGGATCCCTGGCAGGATGTTGGTTTGACATTATGGCGGAAGAAAATATTGTTGGCGCTGTTCACTCCCCAGCAGCCCATTGGCCCACAGCTGTAATATTTCAGCGCCCCATCCAGTTCGGTGAAGTATACAGCAGAAGATCTTGAAACCGTGCAGCTCCTTCTCAAGCAGAAGATGTTGTCTTTTGCGTTCACTCCAGCCAAGAACCTATCACCACCAGCATCTACCTGCTTCAAGAGCCCTGGTGAAAAAAACACAAAACAAAACATTGCTCCAATAAATTGAGTGTAATAACAGAAAGGAGATTAAATGAAGTTAAATTGGATTGGAACCTTCCTATGTTGTAACATAAATAGCTGCATCTCATTGTTGCTTACAGCACGGTTGCCATGTGTCCTTATTTTTGCAGGCCAATCCCCTATTTTCGAAAATGTGCCGTGTCACCTTCAGTCCAATGGAGACACCACAACATTTCAGCAGCAGGGAAGTTGTTTTTCCTTGTCATGAGAAAATGTCCTTCCAATCATTTCAGAGCTGCTGACATCTTTGTTACAGTATCTAGTATATCAAGAACTGACTTTTGAAATGCAACAGCTATCATAGAGGAGGACCATTGTAATAGATGGTGTCACTGGAGTAACAATGTTCACCAGTTGGGCGGGCTGTATCTTAAAGTAAAACTGTGTCCATTAAAAAATACGTGTGCTGCGCACTCAATTATAGATGCACCTGCATTTAATATTCTCTCTTAGTCCCCATGCAAAGTCATATAAATACCAGATGATCCTGCCAGTGAAGTCAACCTAATGTAATATCCTGTGATGGGGTGGCAACAATACTGCACTACTCCTGAATTCAGAACAGAGTTGTCACTTGAATTTAGACTGTCCCTGCCTGTACTACAAAGGGATGTTGTAGGATAGTGGTGGCGAACCTATGGCACACTTGCCATAGTGGGCAAGCAGAGCCCTCTCTGTTGGCGTACATAGGGGCCTGTGCACATGCTCGGAAAGGAGTAGCGGCGCCAGGCGATGACGTCACAAGCTGCAACTCATTCGCTGCGACTCATCCGAGCTTTCGCATGGCCGGTCGGTGCGATACCAAGGATATATATTTTGGACTGGCTGTGAGTTTTAATACATTCATTTTTATTAACACAAGATTTTAGCCTGTGCTAATGGTCAGTGGAACTTTGCCCCCTTTTGATGGTGATCAATGGAACTTTGCCCCCTTGTGCTGGTGGACAGTGGAACTTTGCCCCCTTGTGCTGGTGATCAGTGGAATTTGCCCCCTTGTGCTGGTAGATCTGTGGAACTTTGTCCCCTTGTACTGGTGATCAGTGGAACTTTGCCCCCTTGTGCTGGTGGTCAGTGGAACTTTGCCCCCTTGTGCTGGTGGTCAGTGGAACTTTGCCCCCTTGTGCTGGTGGTCCATGGAACTTTGCCCCCTTGTGCTGGTGATCAGTGGAACTTTGCCCCTTGTGCTGGTGAACTGTGAAACTTTGCCCCCTTGTGCTGGTGGCCAGTGGAAGCTCTGTTATTGTGTTTTTCTTTTAGGACAAAATATATTTCTGTATGGGTTGTTTTTTCTAAACTAAAACCTCAGTATTCAGGTTTAATTGCAGTGTTGGCACTTGGCAATAAATAAGTGGGTTTTGGGTTGCAGTTCGGGCACTCGGTCTATAAAAAGGTTTCGTCATCACTGTTGTAGGAGATGTGACCTTGTCACTGCTGTATAACCAGCATGTAGTTTGTCAGTCAGCATATGACCACACCTTGCCTTACACACTGCTTTCTGGACTGACAGCTCTGCCTCTGTTACTAAAACCCTCCCACTGGGAGCTGCAGTGTCTGGGAGGGGGAATGTGTGAGAACCAGGAGTATTTGGCTGAAAGGGAGGGTAATGAAAGTGTGTTGCTTACTTTATGAGGCTTGTGCATAACATAGTAACTGGGTTTGCTACTTGTATAGATCACATAAAGGAGCATTTACTTGTATGTTAAATCAACACGTGCAACTCCAGAGTCCAGCCAGACTCAGGACTGCAGAAGATTAAAAAAAAGGGAAAAAATAGCGCATTTAGTTTTTTAAGAGATTGATATGAATGTTTCTATGTATTTTCTAAAGCGATGTAGAATATCTCAATTTTATGTCAGTGATATAATTATCTTTCCTTCTATATTATTTATAATTTTTAAAAGATAAATTACACACCAGATATTAATAATATAGGATTTTCTTTTACCTGATACAGATGTCCAGTTATTGTCCTGGAACTTATAGACATTGTTGGCTCTGTTCGCACCCCAAACTCCAGCAGGTCCAACAGAAACATGGATGAGCTTTCCAGGAATTTGCTTCCAGGTATTGTCTACCCAGTGAAAAATGTCATCATTATCATTCACACCGTACACGCCACCAGCTCCGGCATCAATCTGTTTCAGTTTTCCTGGGATTAGTGTACACTCAAACTCTGAACCAAAGAAAAATCATTCACATATTACACACATAAGCAAAGAATATGGAAGACTCAGTAATTATAACTTACAAAACACTAAAGCAGTAGATGTGACTAACCTACAGTATGTTTGTATGTTTGTAAGGCATTTCCCTTTCAGTGGAAGCCAGATATCATATCAGATATTATATTACTTATTTAAAGTACAGTGCTCAGGATAAATGAGTATACACCAACAGATTTGTCAGAAAACTTTTACTTTCCTTTCAGAATAAACATTTTCTATGGGATACTATACTCAGGACAAAACATGTAGAGACTGCTTACAGTTGTTATATCCGGCCAAATTCCTACGTCTCTTCCGGTTTCCGGTATTTGGAACGCATGCCGAGGTCCAGGAACTGGAACAGTGGTGCACAGACGGTGAGTGTATTGGTGCCAAGATATACTTTTTACTGCCAAGTCCTAATTAAATACTGCACAATGAGAGATTCTGTATTTGTGGTCCTTGGGTGACATTGATGGAAAGACACCGGGCACATGGGACAAGTGATGATTGGAGGAAAAGTGAGGAAGAGCAGTTGGAGAGCATCTGGGGCAAACAGCGCTTTATGACCTTTTCTTTTAAATAAGAGGATCATGGATCTTTGGTGAGGGCATTGTGGTGACACAGGAGGTGAAACACTTTGGGAAGATTCGGTGGCACAGAAATAGCATTTCCATATTGGTGTTGGACCGCATGTAGCACTATTTATTGTTTATGTTATTTTGGTTCATGGTATTTGGAGATTGAGTCTGGGATGTCTATGGGGAGTGTAAGCGCCCACTTATAGTTTCACTTATAAAATACTCCCACAAATGTGAGCCATGGATTGCAAACAAAATTTGTTCATTTGCACACACAGAAAAGTATTTTTCCTAACAAACTCATTCAAGACCATGTTGCAAAAATGAATACACCCCAATGAAAAAAGTCTTAGGAGTGAAGCTAAATTTTAGATAACACAATCCTAATCAATGAGAATGCAACTACAGATGAGTCTAATTATTAATTAAACAGGTGTCCAGCAGACAGCTGATTATAAAAGGGAATTACTCAACAAAGAAACCCCCTTCCATTTCAAGCTGTCAGCAATGGCACAACATGGAAGAGAAATGTCAGAAGACCTGAGAAAGAAAATATTTTCTTTAGGCTACAAGGAGATCGGCAAAGCTTTACTTATCAGTCAGAATACTGTAGCAAAAGAGATCTAAAACTTTAACGGAGATCAAACTGCAACCATCTCACAGAGACGTCCAGGCTGTCCATGGACGTTAACACCTTGCCAGGTACATCACCTGACCAGAAGGGTTGAAGAAAATCACTATGCAAATTCACTGCAGTTAGCTAAAGAAGTAGAAAGCCAAACTGTGGTGATTGTTTCCTGTGACACAATATGGCGTACACTAAAGAGGAATGGCATGCATGGGTGTCATCCACGAAGGAAGCGTCTCCTAAAGCCCACCTAGAATTTGCAAGGGCCCATGCTGAAAAAAAATGAAGACTACTGGTACTCTGGAGTAATGAGTTTAAGATAAATGTTTTTGGAACTGATGGCTTTAAAACTGTATGGTGTCGCAAAGGTGAGGAGTACAAAGAAAAATGTATGGTGCCTACAGTGAAACATGGTGGTGGCAGTGTGCTTCTGTGGGGCTGCATGAGTGTTGCTGATGTCGGGGAGCTGCATTTCATTGATGGTATCATGAATTCACAGATGTACTGCGCTATATTGAAAGAGAAGATGCTACCATTACTCCGTGCCCTAGTATGTCTCCTGATCTGAACCCAATTGAACACCTACAGTTGCAAGAAAAAGTATGTGAACCCCTTGGGATTACGTGGAGTTTTGCATGAATTGGGCATAAAATGTGCTCTGAACGTCATCTAAGTCACAACAATAGAAGAACACAGTCTGCTGAACATAATACTACACAAACATTAGATGTTCCCATGGTTTAATTGCACATAACATGTAAACATTCACAGTGCAGGGAGGAAAAAGTATGTGAGGCCCTAGCTTAATGACTTCTCCCAGAGCTAATTGGAGCCAGGAGTCAGCCAACCTTGACTCCAATCAGTGTGATGATATTGAATGTGTTGCTGACAGCTGTCCTGCCCTTAAAAAAAACACACACCTGTTTTGGGTTTACTGGTTTCAAGAAGCACTGTCTGATGTGAACCATGCCTAGCAGAAAAGAGCTCTCAGAAGACCTACGATCAAGAATTGTTGACTTGCATGAAGCTGGAAAGGGTTACAAAAGTATCTCCAAAAGCCTTGATGTTCATGTGTCCACGGTAAGACAAACTGTCTACAAATGGAGAAAGTTTAGCACTGTTGCTACTCTCCCTAGGCGTGGTCGTCCTGTAAAAATGACTGCAAGAGCACAGTGCAGAATGCTGCATGAGGTAAAGAAGAATCCCAGAGTGTCAGCTAAAGACCTACAGAAATCTCTGGCACATGTTAACATTTTTGTTGACACATCTACAATAAGGAAAACATTAAACAAGAATGGAGTACATGGGAGGACACCACGGAGGAAGCCATTGCTGTCCAAAAAGAATATTGCAGCACGTTTGAAGTTTGCAAAAGAGCACCTGGATGTTCCACAGCACTACCGGCAAAATATACTGTGGACAGATGAAACCAAGATTGAGTTGTTTGGGAAGAACACACAACACTATGTGTGGAGAAAAAAAGGCACAGCACACCAACATCAAAACCTCATCCCCACTGTAAAACATGGCGGAGGGAGCATCATGGTTTGGGGCTGCTTTGCTGCCTCAGGGCCTGGACGGATTGTTGTCATTGATGGGAAAATGAATTCCAGAGTTTATCAAGACATTTTGCAGGAAAACGTACGACCATCTGTCCGCCAACTGAAGCTCCGCAGAGGATGGGTGATGCAACAGGACAATGACCCAAAGCATACAAGTAATTCAACAAAACAATGGCTGCAACAGCACAGAATACGCCTTCTGGAGTGGCCCAGTCAGAGTCCTGACCTCAACCCCATTGAAATGCTGTGGCATGACCTTAGGAGAGCGATTCAAACCAGACATCCCAAGAATATTGCTACACGGAAACAGTTTTGTGAAGAGGAGTGGTCCAAAATGACTCCAGATCGTTGTGCAGGTCTGATCTGCAACTACAGGAAACGTTTGGTTGAGGTTATTGCTGCCAAAGGAGGGTCAACCAGTTATTAAGTCCAAAGGTTCACATACTTTTTCCTCCCTGCACTGTGAATGTTTACATGTTATGTGCAATTAAACCACTTTTCAACATCTAATGTTTGTGTAGTATTATGTTCAGCAGACTGTGTTCTTCTATTGTTGTGACTTAGATGATGTTCAGAGCACATTTTATGCCCAATGCATGCAAAACTCCACGTAATCCCAAGGGGTTCACATACTTTTTCTTGCAACTGTATGGTGAATTCTGTAGAGACAAGCTGAGTATCACTTTCCATCCAGCATCCAAGCATTAAAAGAGGTTGTTCTTGAATCTGATCTTCATGATCTTCTGGGTCAACCACTGATACTCCTGGCTCCTCCTCTTTGGCAAGTGTTCCCATAGAAAGTTGCTTTCTATGGGGGCACTGTTATGAGCTTGACCTGGAGCCAAGCTGTCTGTGTCTGTAGAATGTATTGATTGATTCTCACCTCTTGTTGCACCTTTTATGACTGTGGCCTGTGTCTGGTCTGTGTTTGAGAAACATCCCCCCCAATTCATGTGATCCTTATCAGTTCCTAATTGGGACAGAGAAGAGTGTTCATTTGACCATCTCCCTATAAATTTAGATCAGCTCATGGGGGTTCACAGACGGGGGGGCATAGTCACAGATGGAGTGCTGTTTTTCTGCGTGAGTGCTGTTTTTGATGGAGTGCTAAGAAGCAGTTGAACACAGTAGTTTAACTAAAGCAGGATAAACTCAAGCAGCAGGAAGATACAACAACAAGAAACTCTACTGCATGCTGGACAGACTGCAAGCAAACACCCTGGAAAAGGACTCCTACAAGTCTGAGTCCCACTCCATGTACCTTTTAATATGTCCCCTCTACTCCTCCTTTTCATATTACTATCCTGTGTTCCCAAAATCTTATTTCTTTACCCCTCTCTGCTCCACCCCAAAACTTATACATCTCACCCTCACTGCTACCATCTCCCTACTAGTGCTCTCATCACCTCCTGCTGATACGTTACTCTCCTGCTGACCCAAACACCAGGACTGGAAGGCATGTACACCCGTTGTACATCCCGCTCCCATGTTACTTTCCTCACCCTTCTTCTTTCCTAACCTCTGGGGATATCTCCCCAAACTCTGGTCCTCCAGTATCTCACCCCCACACCAGGCATCCTATTTCTTCCGGGAATAACCACAGTCCCCTTAATTTTATATCAGTCCCCGTGCTTCCAAAAACCACCTTCCCTTTTTCATGTGCGCTCTGGAATGCCCGCTCTGTCTGTAATAAGCTCACCTCTGTCCATGACCTTTTTGTCTCCCACTCACTTAACCTACTAGCAATTATAGAAACCTGGCTCCAAGCAGCAGATTCTTCTTCTCCCGCAGCACTTTCCTATGGAGGCTTTCTCTGGACCCACTCACCCAGACCCCAGTGGTTGGAAAGGTGGTGGAGTTGGTTTGATTCTATCCCACTGAGCACCTTTCAAGTCCTCCCTAACCTCCCTCTCTATCCTTCTCTTCTTTTCGAGACTCACTGCATTCGGCTGTTTTTCCTCCCATTTCTCTGAGGATTGCAGTGATCTATTGATCTACTGAACCCGTGTTCTGCTTTCTTGATGATTTCTCCACCTGGCTACCCTACTTACTCTCCTCTGAACTACCACTATCATTCTTGGAGATTTTAACATCCCCTTTTAATGTCAAACAACCCAGCTACATCCCAACTCTTCAACCTAACCTCATCTTTTTGCATAGCACAATGTATACAGTCCTCCACTCACGCTGTGATGGGAATACATTAGACCCTTTTTTTCTCCAATCTTTGCACTCCCTACAACCTCACATACAACACCCGCCTTTCCTCTCTCTGATCATAATCACATCACCTTCACAGTGTCCTCGTCTTCAAACGCCTATCCCTCCAAGAAGCAAACAATTACCCGCAGATGAAACCTTCACAACTTGAACCCTGCTCCTTTCCACTCTGCAACTGACCAACTCTATGACAGAATCTCTCCCCTGTCCTGCCTTGACCTGGCCACTAACGATACTGTCTACAACAGTTCGCTTTCATCCACATTAGACTCACTTGCTCCTCTAACAACACGAAGCATCAGGCCCCGACCATTACAACCTTGGCAGACTGGCGACACCAGAAATCTTAAACAACATTAATCGTGCGCTTTGGGAGCATTTAGATTTATATATAAATCTGCTTTCTTAACATACAATTCCTCCCTTCATGCTGCCAAACAAGCCTATTTTATTTCATCAATAGCTTGTCATCCAGTCCTTGTCATCTCTTTTCTACTTTTAACTCTCTACTTTCCACCACCACCTCCATCCATGTGTACCTCACTCACTGCTCATGAGATTGCAAATCATTTCAAAAACAAGATTGACGCAAATTCGTAGGGGCATTTGCCAGACTGCACAGACATCCATCCCACTTAAAGCTACCATTACCTTATACTAAATCTATCCCTGTCAGGGCTCCCAGGTATGACCAGAGGTGTGTGACTGATGCAGGGAAAACGCAGACTTCAGATATGTGATAAACAATATATAATTTATTTAACACTAACCATACAAACATAAACGCAGTGCAATGAACTAAACATAATACAGTGCAACCAAACCAAACCAAACCAAACCAACAACCCACAGATAACAGTACATACAAGCAAGCGTCATCAGGCAGGCCGGGTCAATATCAATTGGGCAGGTAGGTACAGGGGGAGCAAAGCAGAGAAATGGTCGGGGTCACAGGCCAGGTCCAGCAGAGTAGCAAGCAGCGTAGTACTAGAGGGGTCAGGCAGGAGGGGATGGTCAGGGTCACAAGCCAGGGATCAAAAACAGGGTAGCAAGCAGCGTAGTACAGAGGGTCAGGCAGAGGGGGATGGTCAGGGTCACAAGCCAGGGATCAGAGCAGGAGAAGTCAGCAGCATGTTCAGATCAGGCAGGGGTCAGCAAAGGGACAGAAACAGGATGCAGGACAGATACAGGGCCCAGGACAAAACACAACACCAAGGCAGAGTCTGTGGGTCTGGCCATCCCTTAAATACCCCCAGTCATAATCAGTTCCAGGTGTTAGCTGGCTACAAAGTTGAGTCTCTGATTGCTGGGAGCATCCGCTGGCCAGCCTGGGTAAATATTACTGCAGATCAAAAGGCAGGTGAGTCCCCACCATTGCTGGCCAGTCTATTCCTGACAGTACCCCCCCCTCGCAAGGAGCGGCCTCAGGACGCTTCCAAACAGTCCTAGCTGGGAGAAAATGTTCCACCGCCCGGGTCTGGGTAACTGGCGGGATATCAAAGACTGGCACACACCGGGCAGGACTCCGGGCAGAGGGTACATCGGGCAGAGCACATCGGGCTGGACTCCGGGCAGAGCACACCGGGCTGGACTCCGGGCAGAGGCTCAACACCGGGCAGAGGCACCACGGGCAGAGGCACATCGGGCATGAGGCACATCAGGGCTGGACTCCGGGCAGAGGCAACATCGGGCTGGACTTCCGGGCAGAGGCACATCGGGCTGGACTCCGGGCAGAGGGCACATCGGGCTGGACTCCGGCAGAGGCACATCGGGCTGGACTCCGGGCAGAGGCACATCGGGCAGGACTCCGGCAGAGGCACAATCGGGCAGGACTCCGTGGCAGAGGCACATCGGGCAGGACTCCGGGCAGAGGCACATCGGGCTAGACTCCGGGCAGAGGCACATCGGGCTAGACTCCGGGCAGAGGGCACATCGGGCTAGACTCGGGGCAGAGGCACATGTGGCTACCAGACGAAGCGGCAGGCAGCGGGGCCACCAGGCGGAGTGGCAGGCACCGGGCCCCCCCGGGCGGGGCGGACCAGGCCCCGGGGCCCCGGGCGGGGCGAACAGGCCTCCGGGCCCCCAGGCGGTGGCGACAGGCCTCGGGCCCCAGGCGGGGCGACAGGCCTCGGGCCCCCAGGCGGGGCATCAGGCATTCGGGCCCCCAGGCGGGGCATCAGGCATCGGGCCCCCAGGCGGAGCGGCGGGCGCCGGACCCCAGGCGGAACTACAGGTCTCGGGCCTCAGGCGGAGCAGGGGGTGTGCCGGACCCCCAGAAGGAGTACGACAGGCCTCGGGCCCCCAGGCGGGGCGACAGGCATCGGACCCCCCCGGGCTGGTCGGCGACAGGCATCTGGACCCCCGGGCGGGGCGGCAGGCACCGGGCCCCCGGGCGGTGCGACAGGCACCGGGCCCCCGGGCGGGGCGACAGGCACCGGGCCCCCGGGTGGGGCGTCTCGGCATCGGGCCCCCGGGCGGGGCGACATGGCATTGGGCCCCGGGCTGTCGTGGGCGACAGGCACCGGGCCCCCGGGCGGAGCAGCAGGCACCGGGCCCCCGGGCGGAGCAGCAGGCACCGGGGCGCCCCCCGGGCGGAGCAGCAGGCATCCGCTGGGCCCCCGGGCGGAGCAGCAGGCACCGGGGCCCCGGGCGGGGCGACCGGCACCGGGCCCCCGGGCGGGGCAGAAGGCACCGGGCCCCCGGGTGGAGCAGCAGGCACCGGGGTCCCCCGGGCGGGGCGACCGGTCACCGGGCCCCCGGGCGGGGCAGAAGGCACCCGGGCCCCCGGGCAGGGCAGCAGGCACCGGCCCCCGGGCGGAGCAGCAGGCACGGGCCCCCGGGCGGCGGATACTCAGCGGCAGGACCGGGCCCCCCGGGCGGAGCGCGGCAGGCACCGGGCCCCCGGGCGGAGCGGCAGGCACCGGGCCCCCGGGCGGAGACGGGCAGGCACCGGGCCCCCCCCAGGCGGGGCGTGGAGGCACCGGGCCCCCAGGCGGGGCGACAGGCATCGTGCCCCCAGGCGGGGCGACAGGGAATCGTGCCCCCAGGCGGAGCGGTCGGGCGCCGGACCCCCAGGTTGGAGCGACAGGTCTCGGGCCCTCAGGCGGAGCGGCAGGCGCCGGACCCCCAGGCGGAGCGACAAGGTCTCGGGCCCTCAGGCGGAGCGGCGGTGCGCCGGACCCCCCAGGAGGAGCGACAGGTCTCGGGCCCTCAGGCGGAGCGGCGGGCGCCGGACCCCCAGGAGGAGCGACAGGGTCTCGGGCCCCTCAGGCGGGGATGGCGGCGGGCCCCGGACGGAGCCCCAGATGTCGAGCCAACAGGTCTCGGGCCCTCAGGCGGAGCGGCGGGCGCCGGACCCCCAGGTCCGGAGCGACAGGTCTACGGGCCCTCAGGCGGCAGCGGCGGGCGCCGGACCCCCAGGCGGAGCGACAGGTCTCGGGCCCTCAGGCGGAGCGGCGGGCGCCGTACGACCCCCAGGAGGAGCGACAGGCTCGGGCCCTCAAGCGGAGCGGCGGGGCACCGAGTCACCAGGCACAACAGTGGGCTCCGAGTCAACTGGGATGACCGCTGGCACTGGGTCAGACATTGGTAATCGTCTGGCTGGACAGCGGCATCGGGTCACCAGGCATTCAGGTCCATTTGGCTCGACAGTGGGCCACCGCATCATCTGGCAAGGCAGTGGGCTCCGAGTCAACTGGTTATGACCGCGGGCACTGGGTCAGACATTGGATCGTCCTGACTGGACAGCGGGACCTGGGTCAACAGGGGCATCAGGTCATTTGGCTCGACAGCGGGCACCGCGTCATCTGGCAAGGCTGTGGGCTCCGAGTCAACTGGTAGTATGACCGCGGGCACTGGGTCAGACATTGGATCGTCTGACTGGACGCTAGAGGGCATCGGGTCACCAGGCATCAGGTCATTTGGCTCGACAGCGGGCTACCGCGTCATCTGGCAAGGCAGTGGGCTCCGAGTCAACAGGCACGACAGTGGGAGCATCCGGGTCATTTACAGGTACACCGATTGTCTGGCTCGACAGCGGGGCATCGGGTCACCAGGTATGACAGTCGGGCACTGGGTCACCAGGCATCAGGTCATTTGGCTTGTCATGCGGGCACTGCGCGTCATTCTGGCAAGGCAGTGGGCACCGGGTCACCAGGCATTGGATCGTCTGGCTCGACAGCGGGCATCGGGTCACCAGGTATGACAGCGGGCCCTGGGTCACCAGGCATCAGGTCATTTGGCTCGCCAGCGGGCACCGCGTCATCTGGCAAGGCAGTGGGCACCGAGTCACCAGGTACGACAGCGGGCTCTGAGTCAATTGGCACGACAGCGGGCACCGGATCAGGTACCGGATCGTCTGGATCAACAGCGGGCATCGAGTCAACTGGCCCAATAGGATCTTCAGGCTGGATCAGTTCATCATGCTGGGTAGAGGCATCAGGCTGAATGCCGGCGTCCGGTCTGAGTAGAGGCTTCAGGCCGAGTAGAGGCTTCAGGCCGAGTAGAGGCTTCAGGCCGAAGAGAGGCAACAGGCCGAAGAGAGGCAACAGGCCGAAGAGAGGCATCAGGCCGAAGAGAGGCATCAAGCTGAAGAGAGGGCACCAGGCTGAACCAATGGAAGGCAGGTTCTCAGACGGCCAGGTTCACTGGTTTGGATACTGGCAGGATGGTATTGGTTGGAAAGAAATTTTCGCTTTTTTTCTGGTTTTAACCACTGGAGCACTGCAAGTAAAACGCAGGTCTGCAAACGAAATGGAGCAGCTGGAGACAGAGAAGAGCTGGAGGATGGAACAGGAGAGGGAGCAGTTGCTACAGAGGGCTCTTTTACAGGGTTAAAGGCAGGATAGGTGCAGCGAGTGGGAACAGGGTACTGACATGCGGTAGATAGCAGGGCAGGAGGAGCTGTTGGAAATGCAGGAATAGAGTTTTGAGGAAATAGATTAGAAGCAGGACTGGGTCTTTGTAAGCTGACTGAGGCTGGGTGCAACAAATCTGTCCATGTCTGCAGTATGGGGTTGAACAAAGCTGAGCTTACACAAAGCCTGTCTGGTCAATGACTGCACTGCGTTTATACAATCTCTTAGTGTCTGTGGTGAACATGTGGAATAACGCTCCAGAAAGTAACCCACATCATCCTCTAATAAACCACACCAGGGACTCTACCTGGTCTGCACTAAATGGTGGCAAAAATTCATCCCTGCATTCAGGGGGTACCAGATGAAACCAACTCAGTACAAACCTCAATCAATGGCTGCACCTCAGAGAACTCTGTGCCCTGATCTACTAGAACATGAGCGAGCCGTATACATTCTAGCAGTTCATCCCGGGGATACTCCTTCAGAGTTTGATAAGCATACTCCCTGTCATCAAACACTAGCAGATATAAATACTCAACCTCATCAAGATCCATCCTTCCCATCAACAAGCCAAGATGGCTTCCCTGTGCAGCCACTTCTGGTCAGGATTGGCCTTGGTGTAATGTCAGGGCTCCCAGGTATGACCAGAGGTGTGTGACTGATGCAGGGAAACGCAGACTTCAGATATGTGATAAACAATATAATTTATTAACACTAACCATACAAACATAAACGCAGTGCAATACTAAACATAATACAGTGCAACCAAACCAAACCAACCACCCACAGATAACAGTACATACAAGCAAGCGTCGTCAGGCAGGCCGGGTCAATATCAATTGGGCAGGTAGGTACAGGGGGAGCAAGCAGAGAATGGTCGGGGTCACAGGCCAGGTTCAGCAGGTAGCAAGCAGCGTAGTACAGAGGGTCAGGCAGAGGGATGGTCAGGGTCACAAGCCAGGGATCAAAACAGGTAGCAAGCAGCGTAGTACAGAGGGTCAGGCAGAGGGATGGTCAGGGTCACAAGCCAGGGATCAGAGCAGGAGAAGTCAGCAGCAGTTCAGATCAGGCAGGGTCAGCAAAGGGACAGAAACAGGATGCAGGACAGATACAGGGCCCAGGACAAACACAACACCAAGGCAGAGTCTGTGGGTCTGGCCATCCCTTAAATACCCCAGCATAATCAGTTCCAGGTGTTAGCTGGCTACAAAGTTGAGTCTCTGATTGCTGGGAGCATCCGCTGGCCACCCTGGTACTGCAGATCAAAAGGCAGGTGAGTCCCACCATTGCTGGCCAGTCTATTCCTGACACTCCCTCAACACTCTCCTCTTTTGACCTTGCTACTACCGAAGAGGACACTAAGGTTTTCACAGAAGCCCGTCTCACTACCTGCCCCCTGGATCCTGTCCCCTAACAACTATTACGGTCATCCTCTTCTTTCATCCTATGCTCCCTCACTCACATCTTCAATCTCTCCCTCTCTAACGGTGCCTTCCCCTCCCCACTAAAGCATGCATACATCCCTGCCATACTTAAAAAACCCTCCCTGGAACCCACCAACCTGAACAACTTAAGACCCATCTCCCCGTTGCCATTTACATCTAAACTCTTAGAACGCTTAGTCTACAATCACCTGAGCTCCTACCTCACTGACAACAACCTTCTTGACCCTTTACAGTCTGGCTTTTCGCTCACTCCACTCCACTGCAACTGCCCTACTAAAACTCACTAATGATCTACTAACTGATAAAACCAATGGCCACTACTTCATACTCTTACTACTTGACCTCTGTGCGGCTTTTGATATGGTTGACCATCCTCTCCTCCTCAAAAAACTCCACTCTCTTGGCCTCAGAGACTCTGCTCTCTCCTGGTTCTCCTCCAACTTATCGCAGCGCTCCTTCAGAATTACCTATAACGCTGCCTCCTCCTCTTCACTCCCTCTTTCTGTAGGGGTCCCTCAAGGTTCTGTCTTTGGACCCCTACTCTTCTCCTTCTACACCTCCTCCCTTGGTCACTTGATAAACTCCCATGGCTTTAAGTACCATCTCTATGCAGATGACACACAAATCTATCTTTCTACTCCTCACCTCACCCCTTCAGTCTCCTCTCGCTAAACCACTAAGTGACATATCGGCATGGATGTCACTCCACTTCCTCAAACTCAATCTTTCCAAAACTGAGCTCTTAGTATTCCCCCAAGACCATGCCCCCTCCCCTGGCTTCTCCATCAAGATCAATAACACAATCATCAGTCCCTCCCCTCATGCCAGAGTACTAGGTGTAATTCTAGACTCCTATCTGTCCTTTCAGTCCCTAATCCAATCACTGTCCAAATCATGTAGACTTCACCTCCGCAACAACTCTCCAAGATACGGCCGTTCCTAACCTTGGAAACCACTAAGCAACTTATTCACTCCCTGGTTATCTCTCGCCTTGACTATTGTAACTCTCTTCTCATTGGCCTACCTAATCGCAGGCTATCCCCTCTTCAGTCTATCATGAATGCTGCTGCCAGACTCATCCACATTACTAACCGTTCTGTATCAGCCACCCCTCTCTGCCAATCCCTCCACTGACTTCCCATTGCCCAATGTATAAAATTCAAAACATTAACAATAACATATAAAGCCATTTATAACACTGTCCCAAATTACATCACAGATCTTGTCTCCAAATACCACCCAAACCGTACTCTCTGCTCCTCGCAAGACCTCCTGCTCTCTAGCTCCCTTGTCTCCTCCTCCCATGCTCATCTCCAGGACTTCTACAGAGCTGCCCTCATCCTCTGGAACTCTCTACCCCAATTTATCAGACTATCGCCTACTCTGCTCACTTTTAGGCGATCTGTGAAAACCTATCTCTTCAGGGAAGCCTATCCTGCTCTCAGCTAATAATGGAATCTTCTACTCTTCCAACCAGTCCATCCCCCACAGTTACTACCTTTTGTACCACTAGCCCCTCCTTCCTAGATTGTAAGCTCCAAGGAGCAGGGCCCTCCTATCCCTCTTGTATTGTACTGTATTGTTGCTGTATTGTCTCCCGTTATATTGTAAAGTGCTGAGCAAAACTGTTGGCGCTATATAAATCCTGTATAATAATAATAACAATAAAGGCAGATGCCATTCACCCACTGAGGAAATTGCTGTTGTTTGGAACCTCCTAGTTTATTAGACAACTTATTTGGTTACATTGTTGTGGACCTCCATATACAATATTGCAGAGTTGCCTTCTTTCTGGTTTTTGCTGACCCTTTTGTGGTGTGGGCCCCCCCACGAGGCCGGGTGGGCCTGTTTATGGTCAGTCCACTTCTCTGCTCCTTAATGTGGTCCCTGGATGTATATTTGTGGGGTGGACCTTATGATGCTGTAAAGATCCATGTGTATGTCCAGAAAAAGTCCTGAAAAAGAAGATGTCTAACCTCAAAACATGTAGACTTTGGTTCTCATGTTTGTATTTACTCTGCACTGTTCTCTAAGGTCTTGTGATGAACCCCATTCTTTAATTGATGTTTTTATACTGACTGTGGTCTAATTTTTATGAAGGATTTTTTGATTTAAAAAAATAATATTTTATACTATGGTGTCTGTGAATTACCTCTGGAGATATAGCTTAAGTTCCCGTTATTTTCTCTGTGAACACTACTTAGTGATTTGTGCGCTAAATTACAATGGTGGTCAAAAGTAAATCATCGTACATGGTTTGGAAGGATTATTCTTATTAAAATGAATTTGCTTCCTCTATGTTTATATTTATTTTAGATAGTTCAAAAACATTCTTCCCCAGGATGAAAACAATGATGAAAAATATTTCTGGGAAGAAAGATCATCCAGACTTTTATAGAATCCTTAATGGAAAAAAGAATCAAGGTGCAGCAGGTTTGCCTTTTATAGAGATGTATTATAAAGCATCGCATCTGACACACATATTGAATTGGTTTGATATATCCCATATACATTTTTGAGCTGTAATAGAATGTAACATGTACCCAATATCAATATCTGCTTTACCCTGGATATCATCTTTAGCAATGCCTCCTTCCCCTGCTGCAAGCTATCCTTCTTTACACCAATGGTCTTAAAGACATGGAAACAGTTTGTTTTTGGTTTTTTTAAAGGTGTTTATTTTGCATTTATAAAACACAAACAATAACAGAACAAGAAAAAGACAAATAATAATAGAAACTCAAAACTAAAATCAAAAAGTAAGGGGATAAAAGGGGATCAAAATAAAAATAAACAACAAATTATTGCAGGCCAGAAACCCCATACAGATAACAAGAAAAAAATCACAAAACAAAAATAATAACATAACAGGTAAGAAGTCAGAAACATACAAACACACAGCCAAACATATACAACAAACACAAACACTCACATCATTAACTCCCTTACAGATCAGAGGAAATCACTAGCATGTAAAATCCAACCACTCAAACCACAGAAGCTTGTGACAATGGTTGAGACAAGAGAGCATCTCCAGCCAAGGATGACAGATTTTCGTAAAATTTTTGGGGGCAGACCTGTCCTTTAT